CTTTAGCATTCTGAGGCGACCAAACCTCCACTTAGTGCTGATTTATTCTTCTGCCAACCTCCCAGCAACTCCCATGACAGTGCAGAAGCTACAACATCTATTCTTTCACCTTCTCCCCTCTTTCCAGATGGAACAGTAATTTATATGTATTTCATTTGATTGAATATACTACATTTTGTGCTCTCAATGAGGTCTCCACTACACTGGGGATACAAACAGAGATCAGATGATCATATTGCTGAATAGCCCCATTCAGTTGGCAGGTATAACTCTGAGCTGTCAGTCATTTATTGTTGTAAGTTGCTGTCCAATTTTAACTCCAAACACTATCCCCAGCCTCCTGCAGTGCTTGAATGAAGCTCAGTAGATACTCAAGGAAGCAAATCACATCTTTCCCTGAAATACTTTGCAAACTTACTGACTCAACTTGAAGTTCAACAATCTCAGATCCTAATCGCTGTTTCCAATTTCTTTCCCCCCCAAAGTAAAGGTACTGTCCTGTCTTCAATCCTGTCATAGAATTTTCATCCTGTTTGTCCATACAGCATCACTATCTTTGCCATGGGCTGTAGTTGCTTAAAACCTGACCTCATCTAGTTCTGGCTAAAGGTCATTGATCTAAAATCACAGAACTGTCATGCACAAGGAGGCCATTCAGTCTATCACATCTGCACCAGCTCTCTGAATGAATGGTAATTCTGTTTTACGTTCCACTGATGCTGTTTGCCCTTCTGACTATTTTTTGCGTTTTATACTAATACTTCAGGCTTTCAGCATTGCTGTGTATTTCCTTAAAAATTTTTAAGATACATTCTTCTACCTGACATCAACTGATGTATTATCTTTGTATTCTGACAATTGTCTTTCAAAGATTTTTCCCCCATCCTTGCTTTATGTTGTCAATTTACAAGATTCAACCTTCTTAAAATCAAACCATCAGATACTATCAACATTTTTTAAAAATATGCTTTTATTTCAACAAATAGAGGCCAGAAGTCTACAGATCCTGCACACAGTGTATGTTCTAAAACGGGGTTGACTGTAATCTCCAGCACAGATTCTATAAATGCGTGTTGGATTTTTGGTAGGGGCTGGGGGTGGGGGGGAGGTGGTTGTTGGTGATGACTAACAACTCTTTCATGTGGTTTGATCACACACTACCATACATCAAGAACACATCTGAACTGACCATAAGACTCCTACGACCACTGGGCTTCAGAGAAGCACACAAACCCACATCAACCCTACACCAACTGCTAACCTGAACCAAAGACCCACTACCCACTACCCACTATGGACAGGACCAATGTTGTATGCAAGATTCCCTGCAAAGACTGCGACAAACATTACATTTGACAGACAAGAAGGAAATTAACCACAAAAGTACATGAACATCAACGAGCAACAAAATGACATGACCAATACCCACTCATCTCAATCCACATGGATAAGGAAAACCACTAATTCGATTGGGACAACACCAGGATCCTGGGACAGGCGAAGCAGAGACAAGCACGGGAATTCCTAGATGCCTAGTTCTCCACTAAGAAAGCATCAACAAATACAGAGCTAGACCCCATATACACTCCACTGTGAAGGAAAACCGGAAGTGAGGTAACCCAGCTCAACTGACCCCAGAGTTTAAATAACAGTCAGGAAAACACAACGGCGCTTCATCAGAGGCTGCATTGGTGATGTTACCCAGCAGGGTAATGAAACATCTGCGGAACAACGAACGAGCTCGGCAAGCCAACCAACCACAACATCCACAACCCAAGCTACAAATACACTCTAAAACCTTAGATTTGTAGTTACTGTTTCTAAACTTTTTTGCAGAACAGAAAATATTCCAGGCAATTCAGAGAATGTGTCTCACACCCAAGAGAAATGTTTTGTGAAGTTTCACTGCTTTGGACAGATGAATTGTGAAGATCAAACATCAGTTGGGACAGGAAAGTGACTTGGTCTGGAAACAGCTTTGCTTCAAGGAGAGGAAAAAACAAGTGACTGATATTTGGATAGGAGCAGCAACAGCAGCAATGATAGAATTTTGGAAGAAAATTGAAGTAGTGGTTCACTACTGAATTGGAACAGTGAAAATAGTTTGATTTGACAGCGGCATCAGCTAGCAACTACAGTATTACACTTTAAACTGTTTAAAAACTGTTTTAAGAATATGAGAAATGCACTTAAGCCAAAACCTTGGCTACATAAGCAAGTTTGAAAGTGAAACTCAAGCAATGATTAATCTATTGCAAAGTTTATAGATATCAGGAAAGCAAAAATGTTCATTTTCAAATTAACAACATGGCTTCTTAATAAAGAAAGCAAGGTACAGTAATTGGAATGTATTATTTCTGTGTAAATGAGGATTAGTGACTTTGAAAAATTCTGTCTGGCATTACATCCACTAGGAGGGAAAGCTGATGGAGAACAGCCATAAAGGACATGCTAGGGAAACACTACAAGAAATAAAGTGATGTGGAGAAAGGTAGGAATTATAATGAAGTGATAAAGGGTAACCAGGATGCTAAAAACAAAGGTTGACACAAACAGTTAGTTTCAAATTAGCTCTCAGGAGTTCTACTGAGGAATAACAGCAGAAGGAATCTGATGAAATGCCACACTAGTTTTGTGGAACTAAGGAAAAAGCTACATTGAGAAAATGAGACAGTTAAGAGACGGAGTAGTGTCATGAGGATGGAAGTGGCTTTTGGTATGAAGATAAATTCAATAGGCTAACAATTTATCTATTGAGGTTTTCATGTCGAAGAAATGGAAGATGGGCTGCTGCAGAAAAACAGCTGCTCATATTGGTAGTCCAAACGAATTCCTGACATTATGAAGGGTCAGCTGACTGATACCTTTGTTACATAATTTGGCTATGCTGGAGAAATTTTCAAATGCTCACTGATATTCCTTTAAAATTACCTTATAACTCAGATATTCCTGAGTTCATGCACACAGTGCAATACCATGTACTCATACAGTACTTCTAGCATAGTAAAACTTCTAGGGTGCTATACTGGAGTACTGTTAAACAACATTTGACACCAAGCTCAGGCGTGGGAACTAAAGTATCAAAAACAAGCATGTGATGCAGTTGAGCAGCTTCACAACAGTAAATGTCTTTGCAAATATGGGGTAAAGAGCAGGATTTCTGGAGATGCTGTTGTAAGTGAATTAGGAGAGCATTTTCTTTTCCCAGTGTAGACAGAGAAGTGGGGTGGGAGGATGAAGGAGTTGTGGTTGAAGAGCAAAACAAGCAAGTGGTCAGACATGACTTATCTACTATTGATAAAATGAGAGTAGCGAAGCTACATGAGGTGGTAGTTCAACTGAGTAGTCATGAATTTACATGAAGCAAAAGGGTAAGAGAAGAGACAAGGACAATAAACTCAGAATGATGAATATAAATGAATTGAAATGAATATTGAAATCACTGACGCTAATAAATCAACCAGTACAAAGGTTGAGGGAGGAATGCAATGAATATAGCTCATGGAAAAATTGACTTATGTTGCCAGCACAGAATGAAGGTTTTGAGAGGAGTGAGGTGTAGAATAATATGAGATACCTAATGAAGGAGAAGGTGTTTAGAGGACTAAATGGTGATGGCATGATGTAGTTGGTAATAACAGCTATACTGCCACTGTCGTACTTTGGGTGACTAAGTGCTGGAATTGAGCCAACACTTTGGTGCAAGCTGTCACTGAAATTCAAGAGTTTGGAAGTCTAATTAGGGAAAAGATACACTGCTCAATGAAGAAATAAAAACAGCAGATGTGCTTATGGGATGGGCAGTGGGGCTTTATATCGGCAGTTAACTCGCATTTAGGGCTAAAATGCACCGCCATTAAAGGCACTGGATCATCAGAAGTGAAGGAAATGGAATAGGATGAAAGTGAAATGATATCAATGAATGGCTAAAGATAGAACTGTACAGTAATGAGCTCCCTGTCAAAGATCAATCTTGAATTTCTGATCCTTTTCTTCATTGGTGGCACTGTGTGTCACTTCAGTTAGCAATTTCTTTTAAAATATTATGCTTCCAACAATTGTTTTACTTTTAATTTCACATCTACATCTACAAGTACATTGACTGGTAGAGAGACCACTAACATCCAAAACATATTTTCCTTGTTCAGTTTCAAAAATATGCATCACCAAAGGATTTCCTGATTGTTTTCTTGTATTCTTTGTATTATTTTCTTTGTTCTACATACTTTCACACATCATACAATGTTACAACCTTTTCTTGATAGCAACATTAGGATATTTTGAGAATTGCATAAGGAGCTGTCATGTAACATCCACTGTGCCTTCATTATGCTCAATTAGTCATGTAACTTAATGCATTCCATGCCACCTTGCATTTTTAGTAATTTTGAAACAACTTCTAATGTAACATAGACTGACAATATGTAAGAAAACTGAATGATATAGAATACAATTCATAAAACAGCATGGACAAAACTAATCACAGTCTGTATATAATAAATGAAAAATTTTGCTAATAACAAGAAACCTCAAACACACTCCATCCAAAATATTAAATATTATTTTGCTAATCAAAATATATTAATGCCAGAGGTTTGTAAGGTTCAAGAAAGATCAATGACACCTAAGATCATGTTGAAAAGAAACCTTTTATAAAAATCTATAAAACCTGACAAATAAAGATTGCAAATTTCACAGTTTATATTCCAGTTATGACTGGCACATCTGTTTGAAATTATACCTTGATATTTATAAACATGAAGGTACAGTAATTACAATTTCATTCCAAATGGTGTTTGTTGAACAAATGGAACTTATTCTTAGGGATTTTAATCTTACCTCTACTATAAATCCACCAATATTAACTATATCCAGCAATATAATATGGAATAACAAACCATGATGATCAAACAAGCTGAATAGTAAAGCATTCATTTACTAGATTTGGGAAGTGATTATCCTCCAGCTCACAGTCTCAAAAATAGAACAGTCTCTCTCACCTATTCACGAGATCTTCTCCATTCCAGCATGTTAATCCATCAACAGCTGCCAAATCATTGACACACAATTGATTGGTCAATCCACCATATAAAGTCCTGTATAATCGTAGACTATTGATGAACTCTCTGAAACAAACAGAACATATCTTGAGTTAGAAAAATGTATTATTTGCCAAAGTACTGCAAATTTTTTTGTCAAATTAGCAAATGGATCACACAATATTTGTTTGAGATGGAAATGAAAAAAAAAAATTGAAAGTAGAAATGTCAGATAATGATATTGGTTGATGAAGGGCTTCCACAGTTGGTGACAATGCTTTATCTGCTATAAAATATCGGCATTAATCTGTTAATTATCAATGAAATGTCATACCAAGGATATTCATTTGCTAACATCAGAAACAATAATTTACAGGATTTAATAACTGTAGGCTGAATATCTGTATATCTGTACCATTCCTTGGCTCATAATATTGTTATATTAATTTCCTGATTGCAAAATCATTAGAAAATATGGTTTCAAAGAAAAAAGTGAAGCTAAAGCATTCTGCTTAAAACACGCATGTCTCTGAGGAAACAATGCCACTTTCACTGAACTTGATCCAGGTCAAGTCAGACAGAAAATATCTTAGAACAGAATGGAATTTTCTTGGTTATTGCTATCAAACCCATTCACCTAAAATAAGTCAGATATGGAGAATTGGGGGACTAAATTTTAACCAAAAATCGGTTAAGTACCAATCTTGGCAAGTTTCATGGAGGGCTCTCTCAGAGTCCTAACAAGATTTCTCATGCTATCTTCCCAAACCCACCTTATTTCCAGTGCCATGCTTCTCTATTGTACCCAACTTATCATACCTTCCATCTCACTGCAGTTGGAACTACTCACCAGTCATCCAGAGCTGCTTTGTATGAGTCCTGTCAATTTCCTCATACACATCAGACAAATGCAAATTGGCACTCTGCATTCCCAATGAGGACCTGGAGGTTCTGGGAGATGGTCTTTCCTCAGGACCAGCAGAGGATACCATGACAACAGACCCAGCCAGCCTGTTCTGAAGTTGCCACCTGGGTCACTGTGAAGAACATCTTGCAATGAAGAAAGGTCAAATGGCCTTCTCCACTTTACAAGGATAAGTGACTCCATCTTCTATCTGCTATTCATACTCACTCTAATTCTGCTTTTGCATCCTATGATCCCGTGGCTCATGATCAACCACTCACTGTGTCATGCAAAATCCCACCTCACTTGCTCTCACCCACTCCAAATCTCAGCACAATACTATGCTTATGTGCCCTCTGCACTGTCTACTCACTGACTTGGGACACCTCACCACCTTTCCCCCACCTGAACCAACTAACAGCTCTGGCACCCATTTTCGTCTCACTCAATCCTTCTCTTTGTTTTATTGAAGAGAATATAGCTTACAAAGGCAGTGGGAGCCAGGCCAAGTGATGGGTTGACTTACATTCAGCTTCTCACACCCTACGAGCAGACAATTCTGGACTAGGCGAGTGAGGATATACCTGCTCCTGTGATAATGCCAAAACACCAATATCCCAATAATAAAGTTAGAACTGTTGTCCATTGCCATGCTGCTCTCCAACTACCACTGCGAGTGTATTATTAACAGTTTCAAGATGAGAGATTTCAGGCACACCTTCCTCATAAGGCAACAGGGCAGTGCCAGTAGGCACCCAGCCAGAGGAGGAACTACATAAAGTCCTCCCCAAGAAGTCTCCTCAGGATTCACCAGAAGGAGTTAGGCCATCCACCTCCACCCTGCCTGCCACTCACAGCCCTGTGGGAGATCAAGACAAGGAGGGTACCCCTTCTTCTGAACAGTACACTTGTAGCACATCTGCGTCCACTAGCCACAAGTGCTCCCAGGGCCACTTGACTAAACACCCAAAGCCAACTAAATTCCATTGTAGGGCAGGTTCCCTCCAATCAGCTCCAGATCCTGATACTGCACCAATCATACTGCAAGGGAAAAGAAGAAGACCCAAGGACACAAGTGATATGGTTGACACTTCATTATAAATACATTCTCACACTTGTAAATATGGTGCAAGAATTAATGTACAGAGACTAGCTCTTCTTCGTACAATGTTTCATGGTGCAAGGTGTGAAGTGAGCAACTCAGTGCACTATGTGCAGACTAGGAACTTGGAGGTGACTGCAGCTTTGACAACTAGAGTCAATCTTCCAGGCTGCATTAAATTGCCTGGGCATCACAGACATAAGTGGAGATTGTTTCCCAATGCTACATAATCTGACCAAATGTGCTTGGGCATGGATTCTGACTCGACACAGTAAGTTAATGCCTAAAGTTACATATAGCATTCAGTGCTTCCAGGTAACTTTCCTTTACTATATGGGTGTCTGTTTAATGCTATTGCCCTTTGAAAGGCCTCACATTGCATAATACTAAAGAACAAAACAATTACCCCAGCTATACTGGGTATGGTGGCAGCCATTTTCATTTCCATTACATATTTGTTATTTGGATGATGATGGAATCAAATAGCAATTGCAATTAGGAACATAAGAACATAGGAACAGAGGAACAGGAGTAGGTCTTTCAACCCCTCGAGCCTGTTTCACCATTCAATAACATCATGGCTGATCTATGACCTAACTCCATTTGGCTACATTGGGGTCATGTCCTTGGATACCCTTGCTTAATAAAAATTTGTCAATCTTAGATTTAAATTTAATAACTGAACTGGCATGGACTACCATCTGAGGAAGAAAGTTCCAAACCTCCACTACCCTTTGCATGTAGAAGTCCTTTCTAACATCTCTCCTGAATCTCCTGCCCCTAATTCTTCCTCTATACCTCCTGGCTCTAGAATCTTCAACTACTGGAAATAGTTAATCTTTATCTACCCTGTCTTTTCCTGATCATCTCCTGAAGGCGTCGTTTAGATCACACCTTAACTTTCTAAATAAAGCCACTCCTCATAACTTAACCTCAGAAGTTCAGGAAACAACTTTGTAAACCTGCTTCACAGAGTGAGTCACAAACTCAGCCTCTCTGTCTAAGTGACTCCAAAATCTTCACAGTTCCCTCTACTTCAACTGCATTGGCTTTAAATCTCCCAACATTCCCAGCCAACCCGTTTACTTAACTGGTCGTCTCCATGTTTTACCTCTTGAGCCCCAACACCTTAAGCCATCATACCAGACATTGTAGCACTTTGTACTATGTCCCCTCATCAAAGCCCAGGTAGTGCTGACTGTCAATGACCCCTATATTTGATGTTACTTTCACTCCCATGCATGACTCTACCCACCTACTTATAGATTGATTCGCCTCCCTTTATAATTGTTGTCCGTTTCTGTATCCCAACATGCTGACTTTAATCCCCACAAATAAGTTCCCCAACTTCCCTACCACACCAGAGCAGCTGTCTCTTCCTCCTTGATTTAGAGTGAATAGAAACCACAGGACTGAGAAGGCCCACCACCTTGATTGATTTGGAAAAGACAGCCCCATCTAATGGACAACCAGGCTCCTGATTGCTCTGTATGCAGCTCCCTGTCTGACACATTGACTCCCAGGACTGGTTGTAATGGACTCACAGGGCTAGGCAGGTCTGGTTGATGCACATGCAGTGTGGGTGCTGCTTAAGCTGCTGGTAAATGGTGCAATATGAAATTGACATAGCACAGTGACATGCAACAGCATGTCCAATCTTTTGACTGATGAAAGCTGACAACTATGAAAAACCGCCTGGCTCTGTGTCCACATTGAAAGGTAAGTCGAGACGGAAGTATGGAGAACTTTTAAACTCTGGCCAAGAGCAGAAAGCACAAAAAGGCAAGGCAAACCAAGGCACGGGCTGTGTAAGCAATCAAGCTAGTATAACATGAGTGATAGGTAAGACAGCAAGCAAAGATCGCTGATATGCAGGTCAAATTCATGAGCTGGGTGCCTCTCCCTGCACACAAAGTGTCCTGGCAGCAGCATTACAGTGACTTGGAAACAGCACGGACTGCAGATGCTGGAAGCCAGAATCAATAGATGTCAGCTGGATAAGCACAGCAGGTCAGACAGCATGCGAAAGCAGGAAAGTCCATGTTTCAGGCCAAAACCCTTTGTCAAGACTGGGGTGGGGTCAGAGCCCAGAAGTAAATGGAGGGAGGGGGCGGGGCTGGAGGAAGGGTAGATGGGATGTTGATATGTGGATGCAGGTAGGGGGTTATTGTGATTGGTCAGTGGGAAGGGTGGAGCAGATAGGTGAGTAAGGAGATGGGGCCATTGGGCTGTAAGCTTCCAAGGTGAAATATCAGATGTTGTTCCTCACTTTACATTTGGCCTCACTCTGGCAGTGGAGGAGGCCAAGGATGGACATGTTGCCAGGGGAGTGGGAGGTGGAATAAAATGGAGGCAACAAAGAAGGTCAGGTTGGTTGATGTGTGCAGAGCGCAGATACTCCGCGAACAGATTCTCGAGTTTGCAGTTAGTCTACCCAATATAGAGGAGACCACATTGGGAGCAATGGATATAATAGATCAGGTTGGATGAAGTGCAGGTGAACCTCTGCCGGATCCGGACTAATTGCTTGGAGCCTTGGACGGAGGAGAGAGGGGAGCTGTAGAGGCAGGTGTTCCACCTCTTGCAGTGCAACCTCTCCACCAACTTCAGAATCCATCGCATCATCCCCTGACATTTCTGCCACCTACAATCAGACTCCACCTCCAAAACAATATTTCCTTCCCCACTCAGTCTGCTTTCCACAGGGACTGTTCATTCTGCGACTCCCTCATCAGCTCTACACTCTCCACCAACCTCTCCTCTACACCTAGTACCTTTCCCTACAACCGCAAGAGGTGCAACACCTGCCCCCACACCTCCCCTCTTGCCTCCCTCCAAGGCCCCAAACAATCCTTCCAGATCTGGCAGAGATTCACCTGCACTTCATCCAACCTGATCTATTGTATCCATTGCTCCTAATGTGGTCTCCTCTAGATCGGGGAGACCAAACGCAGACTTGGAGGCTGGTTTGCAGAGCATCTGCGCTCTGCAAGCATCAACCAACCTGACCTTCCAGTTGCCATCTATTTTAATTGCCCCTCCCACTCCCTTGGTGACATGTCCATCCTTGGCCTCCTCCACTACCAGAATGAGGCCAAATATAAACTGGAGGAACAACACTTGATATTTCACCTATGGAACTTACAGCCCAGTGGCCTCAATATTGACTTCACCAGCTTCAAAATCCCTCCATTCCCAGCCTTATCCCATGTCCAGCCCTCCCCCTCGCCTCCCTGATCTGACCGAATCTGTCCATCTTCCTACTCACCTATTCGCTCCATCCTTCTCATTGGTCAATCACAATAACCCCCAACCTGTATCCACCTAGCACCATCTTTTACCCTTCCCCCAGCCCCAACCCTCTCCTCTATTTACTTCTGGACTTCCTTCCCCGTCCCCAGTCCTGACAAAGGGTTTTGGCCTGAAACATGGACTTTCCTGCTCCTCGGATGCTTTCTGACCTGCTGTGCTTTTCCAGCTTCACATCTATTGATAGCACCATTACAGTCAAAGGTAACAGTGCATTCCAAAATGCAGCACTGAAGTTCAGAACGGTCTTGCAAATGGATCAGAGATGTGCCATGAGGGTGCAGCGAGGCTGGTACATGTTCAATGCCAACATTTATGGACGGGGAGTGTATGTGGTTGACTCCCATGAAGCATGTCCTAAAAAAATGTTGGGACAAATGTCTAGGAGTAAGTGGCAAGCTGGAGTTGCCTGGTACTTGTTTCTACCCAGTAATTGGGAGAATGGGAAACTGCGTAATAATGAGGTGAAATTTTTAGAGGCATCTTACCGCTCACTAGCAATATTCTTGCCTTGCTGTTTAACATTTGGTTGGAAAATAGGATACTTTGCTCTTGACATTGAGAATCTCCTTATGTCAATCTCATGCAATTTGTCTAATTTTGTCCCCAGTGTCCACATCATTCAGTGACTGGGCAGATTTCACACAGCATGTCTGTTGTTTGCCAATCTCGGAGGAAGATCCTTTGACTGACGTCCAATAACCATATAAATGTTGTTTTTATGTACAGCCAGTTTATTTTAATGCACAGCACCTTTAAAGTTTCTTGGTGTGAAACTGCACATGCAGTAAAAAAAAGGGAACAACTTGTAAATTGTCTTTACCACACCTTCCAGGTTGCTGCCAATTTGTGCACACTGTGAAGACTGCCAACAACTCTTTTGCGCTTTTGCCCAGCTGTGCAACGTAGATTCTGTGTCATACATTCTTCCAACAGTCTCTGCTGTACAAACACTCAATCATTTTACATTACTATTTTTAGCAAGCATCCCGCTGTCCTGCTAATTCAATGTATGGAATGTAATGCAGTCCTCCATGGTTAGTTTGCTGGTGAGGGTTACTAAAATCAGGCTGGAGGCTTGCAAGTCTGGATCCTGCCTCTCCCATCAGAAGGTCTATGAAGGTCTTTCCATCCCGATGCTGACTGAAGCCCAAGAGCTAGATAATTAATGTTTACTGAAGGGCCTTATCCAATTGCCACTTAGGACCAAAAGCAGACCAAAAGCCATATCAGGAGAGTGACAAAGAAATTTTTGCAGAGTTCCTCTCAGGAGGGTCTCTAATTCGCAGACACTCAGTGCCTGATAGAGCAAGCAAACTGAACGTTACAAGATAAAAAGACAGACACATGGATTGTTCCAAAACATCAGAATATTGCTTCAATAAACTTATGTATGCCGACTCTTAACACATGTTTTGTTATCCTGCGCTTTAAATATTGTAAGCATGTACATTTAAAACACCAGTTACATTTAGGTGCTGCCTTTACAGAGGACTAGTAAGTATAAATGACGTTGCTGCATCTTACTTTCTCCTGCTGGATAATGTCTCCTCATCTTCTTTATGAATGATTTTCAGCCCAGGTTTATCATTGTAAGGATCTGTTTGATAATCCAAAGTTTGAGGAGGCTTTCGAACAGGATGTCCACAGGCTCTATTTACCTGAAAAGAAAAAGGTGACTGATTTGGAATCAACAACGTTAAGATACGATCCAAAAATGAAAAATATTTCCAAAACTGTTTGCTTACTGGAGTAGCTGAGGGACCATAAGACTTAAAGTCAAGTCAGCTTCAATATAGTGGGTCTGTTTTTCCATTAAGTTAATTCGATTCAATATGGCTTATTGGAATTTATATACAACAAACAAACAAAGTAGCAGAGATCATAGGCTGATCTCATTTTTTTAAAGAAAAATGGCAGCAAACAATGGTTACAAAGCTCTAGAAATGTAATGACTAATCTGCAGTCCTTGATTCACAGATAATTAGTCAAATAAAGGAGAGTGTAACATGAGATTACTTTAGCTATAATACCACATTCACAATTAGTTAATACCAATATTTGTCATTCTCATTTGACCTATGCTGCAAGCTGTTATTTTACAACCTGTCTGACACCTAGGATTGAAAAAGGATTTTTTTTTGTGGTCTGATATTTCTGTTCCTTCATTATTGGTAATTGCAGAGTTAATGCCCAAGGCACATTTCCTTTTTGATATTTCAAGTGTAACAATGCCTGCAATTTCTGACTGTTTGTTTTCAATCCTGTGCATTTATCCACTTCACCTCCAATAAATCTGATTAGTAGTTTAAGGCCTAAGGCAAAGTCAAGCAGAACGTTGATCCTTTCAGTTAAAGTCAAAGAAATTATACAGCAACAATGCAGTTATGAGGTTTCTATGTATCCCCCATTCACCTTGTTAGTACAGGATTGTTACATTTCAAGAGGAATGGAAGACCAAAATGTTTAACAACAGCAGAAGCCTTTTTTAAGGATAAATTTGTTCTACAATGCACCAAACTAGACTGGACTGTTTGCCTCCAAAATGGCCAATGGTTTCATTATAATGTCACACAATCAAACTGAAAGGATCAATACAGCAAACTTAAATAAGTACTCAAAATACCTCAAAAAACCAAAAGAACTGCGGATGCTGTAAATCAGGAACAAAAACAAAGTTGCTGGAAAAGCTCAGCAGGTCTGACAGCATCTGTGAAGGAAAAAACACAGAGTTAACGTTTCAGGTCTGGTGACCCTTTCTCAAAACTGAGGAAGGATCACCAGACCCTAAACGTTAACTCAAAATACCTCCCTCTTTACATCAAAGGCCCTTGCAACAAAAACAAAAACAAAAACATTCTCCAACGGTCAATGGCTAAACCATTCCAGGGTTGTCAATTCTTGTCGGTGTACTTCAGCTGTCTGTTTATTTTTCTCCTTGGCTTTAACCTATAGCATTTTAGGTGTACTAGGAAAATCATCTGTCATTTTTTTTCTGTTTGTCAGTTCACACAATATCATGGTATTCTCCATTAAGGTGCTGTTCCCACAGATGCTCCAGTTACTGTTCTTTCCTCATGTATGTCCAAATCTCTATTTGAAAAATTATTTGTGGATCTTCAGTTGTCTGCTTTCCAAGATGTGATCTGGATGTCTTCTCTGTAATACATGATCACTCGTCTGCATGGTGTAGGAGACCGGTCCAGTCTGCGCTACAATAGTGGCTAGCACCCACTTCTCTCTATTAGTGGAACTCCTCACCAACACTTCTTGACCTTTTAGGAAATTGCCTTGGGCCTTGTTTTCTCATTCAAAATGCTGATTCTGTTCTTTCCTGTCAACAATGTCTTTTGTCATGGGTGGTTTCAGCCAATCAAATGCCATGTGCAACTAATGCTTTACCATGAGCAATGCCAGAGAATTTTGATTTGTCAAGTGGATTTGTTGCTGTATGTTTACAAAAATCATCTCAGTCTTTTGTACAGTGATCCGTGTTCTGAAGTTACTCTTAAGGAATTTTTCATTGTGTAAACAAATATTTCTGCAAAACCATTTGTGGATGGCTGAGGAAGAATTGATCACATATATGGAATTCCATTCTGCTTTAGATAGTCTGTAAATTCTTATGATATAAACCATGGATCATTTTCACTCACAAATTGTTCTGGATATACAAGCCCTGCAAAGATCTTCCCCAACCTTTCAATGATTTTCTCTGAAGATACAGCCTCCAAAATGACAACTTCAAGCTGTTTAGTATGTGTGTCAACCACCATGAAAAACATTCAGCCTTCAAAGGATCCAGCATAGTCAATGTGCCTTCTTTGCTATGGCCTTTCTGGCTATTCCCTGGGTGTAATGGTACTAATGGAGTTAGATTGCAAACTCTTGTGCAAACTGCACATATTTCGGTCTTCTCCTCAATTTCAGAGTTAGGCCCTGGCCACCAAATATAGCTTCTAGCTATCTCCTTCATTCTGACTATGCTGCAGTGACCTTTGCATAGTTGATTTAACACACATTTCCTTACCTGTGGTAGAATGATGAACCTCCTTCCCCATAGGAGATATTCTGCTTGAAAGGATAATTCTAGCTTCCATGTGACACGTGGCTTCCATTCTAGAGTTGTTCCTATGGTCTTGCCACGAAGTATCATGTCCAGCACTTTCCATTTCTAGCATATTTTGTAACTAGCCTTACCATTTCCTAAGTGTTCTATTCATTCGAAAATACCTACATGAGCACTGTTTGTAGCCAATTCATTTGGTAAAAATAATCTAGAGACCCCATCTAAATTCATATGTAAGTTGGATTGTTGGTACCTAATTGTACAAGTATGAACTGATAGCGACAATGTCCCTATGGCTCACTGCTAGACAGTTATCCCTATAGGAGGCCTAAATATTGTGCTCAGTGATCTGCAGTTTGTTAGAAGGACAAATTCCCAGCCATTCAGATATTGATGGAATCATCTATTGCCAAAAAATGATTCTGAGAACTCTTTCTCATTCTGTTCACAGTAACTTCTGTTTTGTTTAACAATCTTGGTGCAAAATTAGCTTCTCTACATCATTAGATAATATCTGAAAAACACCTGCTCCAATCTACACGGTGATGCAACTCATATGAGTTGTAACAGTAGTTTTGGGTCAAAATTGTCCACAAGTTCTGATTTTGATGAAACCTCGCTGGCTCGTGAAATCATTCTGATTTCCCCATTTCCAATTCCTCTTTTGGCATAATAAAATTGTGCAATGCTTGACAGTGATCACAAGATTTGGGATAAACCAGCCATAGTAGTTTAGCAAGCCCAAAACTGATCAGAGTTAGAGTAAATTTTTAGGTGCTGGCACCTCAATTATAGCTTTTACTTTTGAAGGTGACGTGTGTAGTCCCAGAGCATCAATGACGTGGCCTAAATATTCGAGAAGATTTTGAAAAACTCACATTTGTTTTTCCCTTGGTCATAACCTTCAAATCACCACGGAGTAGCATCTAAATTGTGGATATGCTCATTTCTTTTCTCTGTGATGAAAATATTGTCTAGATAACAATGGATCCCTTCCAATCCATTTGATTCGTAGCATGTTGAAATAACACAGGTGCAGATGTGATTCCAAATAGAACTCTCTTACATTTGAATAATCTTTTATATGTTACAGTCATCAAATATTTCTGTAACACAGGATCTACATTCATCTGGAGATAAGCTTAACAAAGGTCAATCTTACTGAAAAGCTGTCCTCTAGCTAATGCAATAAGTAGATCTTTGATTAAATGCACAGGATACTGCTCAGCACAAAGTACCAAGTACCAGATTAAGGGTGACCTTAAAAGCCCCACAAGGGTATACCAATCAATCTTTATTCATCACTAGCATGATGGATAAAACCTGGAAATTTTTCAGTAGGAACATGTAAGGACTAAGCTTCAGATTGACTATATAACTGAACATTCACATTGATGCAATCTCGAAAGGCACAACTTCACCTACATACTTTCTTAATACAATTTTTGAGGGTTGCAGCAAAATGTGACTCAACTGCATCTGACATACACTTTGAAGTATCAAGGCAACCTTCATGCCATGTCCACCTCCATTCTTACCTGTTTACCATTCAGTAAGGAGGTTGAAATAACTCCACAGAGGCTGGTATCCCATTACCAACTCACCCTTTATTTTCATGTGGAAAGTCTTTGCTCCCTCAGAGCCAGCTCTCAGTATGAACAGGATGTCTGACATTCCTGTTTTATCTGTTAGCCCAGGCTCCGTGATTGGACCAGATTTACAGCCCCAATCAGAGAATTCATATCTGATGATATTCACCTGGCTGACCTTACAATCACTACATCCCTCCCACTTTGAATATGAGGACATAAGCCAGTTCTTTTTTTGTAGCTCTTTTTGGATCAATTTAGCACCAGTCAGGGTCCACCAACTCTTCCTGTGATACAGGCAGCATGTAACGCAGAGTAGCTCACCTCTTATGCCCAGAGCATCTTGGAAGAAGATCATTCTCCTCTTCAGGTAGCAGAGGAGTTGAAGCAGGAACATCTGCTGTGTCTATCTCAGATTCTGAGGTATCTTCAATGCTTGATGAAGACGGCAAACCCATGGGTTCCAGAACTGTCGGAAAGACAGTTGAGGAACTGGGCACATTTTGCTCCTGCGCCACTTGCGAGTTTGCAGTTTTCATATGGTCCACTTGCTTGGTTGGAACCGTCGCACCTACTCGAACGTTATATATCACTACACCTGACCTCGCGTCAGCCATGCCTACCATGCAGGGCCATTCCTTTAGTTCCTACATCAAACTTCGTCCCCTGAAGTAAACTGTCTCTCTTGTATAGTGGAGGCTTGTGTCCAGCATTAGCATTTCTAATGCCATTTCACCCACCCCCTCAGGTTCGGGAAGATCAGATTTAACCTGGTGCGGAATCTTCTCCCCATTAGTCACTCTGTTGGAGCTATCCCTGCCGTTGCATGAGGGGTGATCCTAAAATCAAATGGGAACTGAGGCAGTTTGTTATCTAATGAAGCTGTAGGCTGTTTCTTTAAGCTTGCTTTCAAAGTTTGGACTGCTTTATTCTGCTAGACCATTGGATGATGGATATGGAACTCTCTTTATATGATGAATACCATTCAAATTCCCTGTTGGTA